CTTTGATTAAGTATGGTACCATGGTAATAGCCAACACAGGAAGCGGAGAAAAACAGAGGAAGTGCATCCTACGGTGGTTTATAGTGTGAGTGTCCTGTGCCTGGGGCAGACAGAGGGTTGAGGACAAACCACCTGATTCTTTTCAAAAAGGAACAAACTAGCTGAGATCACGATATTGTATTAAATGATTAAAAACACAAACTCTTCTCAAAAGGAGTTACTAAAAAGTTGATCCATTAATGAAACCTGTAAAATGTGTTACAAGCGTTGAGTGGAATGCAATTAAAGGCCATCTGTGGTTTTGACTTGTTTGTTTTCAATTATGTTCGGGGGGACACCTGAAGGCCTAAGGGTTTTTGTTTTAACTTTCACTGGCCTGCCCAGTATAGAGCCAGGAATTTTCAGGACGTCAACAGGAAAGACTAACCTTTGACTTTCAGACGAGATGAAATTATCGAATCAAAGTAGGAGATGATGGAAGTGTATTCATGTGGATTTTTAAATGGATGGACAAATTAAAAGTTTTTCTTTAAATCTTAACAAAAACTCTGAAATACAGGGGATTGGGAATGGTTAACAATAAGTAACAAATAGATCCTAAATACCTAGGTAATCTATCTTATTTAGAAAAATACTCTTTTAAAGTCGTACCATCCTAAAAGTTGTAATTATAAATACAACACATTATAAAAATGCAGATTGCTGTTATTGCTCTTTATCTAACTGTCCAATAATCATTTTCAATATGTGGAATTTCAGATTCATAACTGTGCAATTTTGTCAAATTGAATTTTGTTTACATGGTATATATTGTTTTCTATTAGTTATATTCCCTTATGTTAATACTGCAACTTTACTTTCTCCACTTATCTTGAACAGAACAATGAATAATGTAACACTTACAGCATGTATACTGGCAGGTAAGTTAGACCTCACTGAGGTTATACCGATTTATAAGCGTTTGTTATTCCATCAGAAAAAAAGCAGTCCCACCCTGAATCAGCTGTGACGTGGTTTTAACGAAGCAGCAGCAAATATGTGTGTAAATTACATGCATGAATAAATTACTGTAATGGAAGCTGAGTGGAATTTAGTCCAAATAAATTCAGATGGATTTTATTTAAAGTGAAATATTATCCATAAATCATGCATGGGAAAGACCATTTATATACTACAAATGCTAAACACCACAGGGACTAAAATGCATTCCTGTGGCACTAACCTGAGCAGCAGCCATTTGATAGGTTTGTTTAACCTTTGGACAATAAGTCTGTCTAATAAATGACTCTACAAACAGTCCGTCTGAAAGGAGGCAAAGAATTATCCTTTGGCAAAAGACACAGATCTGGAGACACAATGTTTCTTTTTGTCTAAACCATTAATCAAATCATGTAAATCTGTAATGTTTTAGAATAGAGCAATATTCATGTAAGATTCTCACCCTGACTAGAGAACAAAGACCTGAGGTTGGCTCCAGGCACCTACAGTAATTGCTATTTGCAGGAGCCCCTGTGCAAACAGTCTGAAACAAATGGCCAGCGGCAGGAAAGTATGTTGAAAACTAAACAGATATTGGCTTAATGGTAAACAACCATCACATTTTATACTTGGCAGCTGAGAGTTGGCAGCTTTATTTTATGTAAATGGAACTGGCTCGCGAGGTTTAGCCACGTTGAGGTGGAACCTGGGAGACGTCCAACTAGTATTCCTCACTTGGCTGATTTAAATGTTGTATATTTAAGACCCTAAATGCAAACAGGTTTAAAGTTAATATCACAATTATGTAATTAATTACTCCCAAAAACTTATAATCCAACATTAGGGTCTTTTTGATTGAATATACAAAGTTCAGGCAGGCACTCTAATATTTAAATTAATCCAACCTATTTTAACAGCAAAGACAATTTAATTCAATCCTTACAGTTCTGGCAAGTAGAATAATGTCCAGAAAATTGTGTCCATTTATTACATTTTCCAAAGTTTGCCTTCTACATTTGAAGAATGCAGCAGTTGTTTTGGTCAGAAACTACAATGAGAAAATGTCCAAAACATCCAGGCGGGGGGTGGAAGATATGTTTACAGCATCAACACTGGCATTGGCCATTCTTTCCAAATGCTTGCACGTATTGCTGCTCATTTTCATTCTGAGATTTGTGTTTTCTTTTTCTTCGCACATTTACCTGTTGTATTCTCACATGGGCTCACTCAGACATTTGCTGGCCATTTTTCTAGGGGGCTAGCAGGAAAAACTCTGATTTTGCATTCTCACATATAGCCCCTCCTGTTAGTTTCAGGAGAATGTCCGGAGATCAGTGCATATCTGAAATTAGTTAAAATGAGACATCTGTAGAATCTCCTTTGCTCCATACTGCTGACCATACTGCAAATCTCTTTCTAACAGTACCAACTGTTATCTTAAGTAGATGTTGTATCTTTATATAACTGATTAAAGTGTATTCAAGACTGTAACTAAAAGCTTAAGATACTCTGCTTCTCTGTTTTGCCATATCTGTGCATAAGTAGATCACTCACCGGCCCCCTTGTGGAGCCTCGGTATAACAGAGTGGATATCTGTGCAGTGTGAACGTGTGTGTTATCAGGGGACAGGCTGCACCAGAAGTCCTCTTTAAAAGTGAGTGAGAAGAGTTGTATATGAAAAACATGACAATTTGACAATGCACAGCTTTTCTTTCTGCACATGTGCATGACCCTGGTGCAAAAGACAGATTTGTATGCTCCTGTGTATGTGTGTCCAGACCAGCAGCAGATGATGGACTGTATGCATGTGTGTGAGAGTGTGTGTGTGTCTAGAGGTCCCTCTGGCTCCCATGGTTTTCTCTCTCTATCCCCTCCTCCCTCATTCTCCCCTCCCTCCGCAGTGTCACCCCCGTCTCTCGGCTCAACTCAAGCGCCACCTCCCTCTCGCGCATGCAATAGCACTCTGCTCCTCTCCCGGGGCCATTTAACCCTTTGCACGTACTTTTATATCCCTGTGAGATTAACTTAGAGTTACACAGGCGGGTGAGGTCATTGTGGTCAATCCTAACTTATGACTTTGGGCCTAAGGTTACTGTTAAAATCGCGCTTGCTTTGGTTTGAGGTTTAAAGGTTAAGTTCGCTGAGATGGGTGGGTTTGGGGTTTGGGATGGATTTAGGGGATGAATGCAGTAAATGGGAGGTTTTCATGGTTCAGTACAGTGAGAGAAACCGATTGTGTGTGTGTGTGTGTTAGAGAGAAAGAGAGCAAAACTACATCTGTGTGTGTTTCTTGCAGCTGCATTTAGTTATCAATGTGAAAAATAACAACCACAAATTATACGCTGTCATTTACAACCATGGCTGAAACACAATCTAAATGCTATCTATAAAATTCTTGCTTCAGCTCATGAAACTTTTAATATTCAACTTAAAATTTGCTCGAAATTGTGGCATTTGAGTTTACAAGCTGCCAATACAGGTCAGCAGCTTTATAGAGATTTTTAGACGTTCCCCCTGATATTTTCCAGCTCCAGATGCATCACTGGAAAGAAGCCTGCAAGATTCATAAATATGAGGATTGGAACGACAGCTGAATAGTACCACAACTCTGATGTGTGTCTGTTCGTCTGGCTGGCTCACATGCAGGGTGTGGTTTAATATCCTGTTCTTTTTCGTTTTTTCGTCTCTTCCTAGTTTCTCTTTTTGTGTGGTCAGATTCCAGTAAGAGACGTGAATCACAAGAATCTGATTTTTATATTTTCAGCTACACCTCTACGAGTTTGAGTAAATTTTCGAAGGAATTCCAAAATAAAATGCCACTTTGAAATGTTAGTTTGGAAAGTATGAGAAGACTGAAAGGCTCTTTGTCAAGACACTGTAATCGAAGATAAACGACTGGAAAGACAGTATCTGTTTACACTGGATTCAAAGTTATGTCTGAGTGAAAATAAGTAGTAAAAGACAAAGGTTTCCTATTTTAGGCAGGAAATATAAGGCCTATAGGTTAAAAGTCAACTTATTCAAACAGCAGACTAGTGATATAAACACAAAAACAGGCAAGTAAACAAGAACTACTACAACTAATCTTGCTATGATAAGCCTCAGTATCAGACTGTATCCAGCACAGGATACAGAGGAGCACAAATAAATTCAACCATCTGCCCGACGGCTTAAATGAGCACATGAGTTCAGGTTCTATCTAGGGAGCAGTTCACATGATCATTATGTATGCGAGTCCCACGCACACAGGCACCAGACTACTGTGGAGACAAGTGTGCACACAGGTACGTGCATACTGTAGGTATGCAACGATCCAACTTTAAGATGATAGAGTGCAAGAAAGAAAAAGTCCAAGAGAAGAAAGAGGGAGAGGAAGAAAAAGGAGACAAAAAAGAAGGGAGGAGTGGTTCGGGGGGGATCCAGGTAGACATGTGGTGTTGTGATATGGGGTCAGGGTCCTGCTGGACCGTAGGGAGGTGCTGGTGAGCTTGCTTGCCCAGCCGAAGCTCTTCCCTTCTGGACACGCACCGAGCCAGTGAAGCCTGGATCCATCCTTCAAGCCCTCCCTCCCTCCTCTCCTTCACTCTCCCTTCTTCTTTTCACACCCCTTCCTTCCCTCCTCTCTCTCCCCCCTCCTTCCCTCCTCCTGGCACTCCCTCTCGTCCCCCTCCTCCTGCTCTTCTTTCCCAGGCCATATGGGTGCAGTGCCACGTCGCTGAGTGAACTTATTAGACTGAAGGAAAGAGGGAAAAAGAGAAAAGTGCTAAGCACCTCCACGTGGGCTAAAGCTTTCTCTCCTCTTTTATTCCTTCTTTTCTCTCATTGGAAAAACCTTCACTCATTGTCTCTGATGTATTTGATTCCTTGCTTACAAATCAAATACAGTCACATTTTATGGAAGGGAGCTCCACAAACACCCCATTTGTGGAACTCTCTGACTTCTGCCAGTATGCATCAATGTGTGTGTCTGAGTGTGTGGTGCTGGCGTGAGCCTGAAATATACCTTTATACACAAGAGAAACTTCCTGAAGCATATGTATTTTATTTGATAGAACTTTATATTTGCTGACTGGAAATGAGTCAAACTCAAGTTCTCATTTTACAAAGGTCTCATGACTATGTCCCTATACATTACTGCCATCTAGTGGATACTTTTGTTAACAACACATTCACATTCTGCATCTTTTGCTCACAGATTATCTTGTGATGAACGTTTAAATCTATCTTAAATGTTTTAGAGCATAAAAACTCAAGAATATATGGGACTGGGATGAATTTCAAACAAACTAATCAACAGTATGCATCCATCTGTTTTTCTATTTTACGCCTGTATTTGATATATTTCCTACATTGTAAACATATGAACACAAAAGGATTCTATCATCTCTCATGCTGATTGCTCACTGATGAGTATAACCTGTGCTATATTCATAATATATATAACTCAGAAACTTTTCACAGAAATCAGACATTATATGGGGGAATATTAAAACATATAATTCCAGCTTGAGGCCCAGTGAAATCCGAGGTTCCCACACCAGAAGCCTCTCTTGATCCTGAAACAGGAGCTTTGAAACACTTCAATTCACAGGCCAGGTGCACTTTACTGACAATAAATTGTAAATAAACGGCCATTTTTTTGGAGGCTCATTCTCAAAATCATTTTGTTTTCAGGATAAAAGCTTAAACACAGAAAATTTCACTCAGAGAGGTGTCTTTATTTTTCAGCTTTAGAAAGCATCAACTAACAAAGCTTGTTTAGACATGAATGTTTATGCGGACTGTCAAATTTAAGTGTGTTTATTACTAACCATTTAATTTAAGTTTCAAGTATTTTTTTAATGAATGCAACAAATGGAAACCAAAAAGGCTATTGTCAATCAAAGTTTTTTAATAATCCCCTCTTGTATCTTATATCTGTCAGCTGCTCAGTAGAAGTGCACCACCTGGAATCCCCGTAAACATCTAAAAGCCTGTGCATCCAACTTGCCCATGTCCATTAAATTGTGTTCCAACTGCACTTGAACAAGCCTGCTGAGACTGAGACTTGTATTACCCCAGCAGAAAGCGTCACGGGGCACAGACTGAATCTTGTTGTGTGTCAGTGAGACTGAGTGCAAACCTTGCGGCAGCTGTCTGGGCACTTGGCGCAAGGTGTTGTGGCACAGGTCTAACTGGTGCAGGACAGCTAACATCCTGAAAGCACCTAATGCGACTTTGAAGATCTTGTTCCGAGCCAAGCCAAGGTGTTCCAAGTTTCTCACGGTGCTGAAAGCTGCTTTCTTTATGGAAGATATGAGGTTTCCCTCCAGGTTCAGAGTTTTTAGTGAGCGGGGAAGATGTCGTGGCACTTGCTTGAGTCTGTTCCCTTCCAGGTTGAGGCTTTCCAAGTGAGTTGTGTTTAGGAGGGACTCCCTGAGAAAACCTTTGTTTGTCAATCTGTTTGCACTCAGATCTAACACCACCAGCTCTGATATTCCATCGAAGGCACCTCTGCGAAACTGCGCAATGAGATTCCCTTTGAGATGCAGCTCCTTGATGGACAGCGGTAAACCCAGTGGGACTAATGTTAGCTGGTTGTGATTCAGGTTGAGAGTGCGCAGGTTGCACAGAGGAGAGAGCACTGCATTAGGAAGAGATTCAGATCCATTCCCCAGGCTGTTGTTGCTGAGGCTCAGAACCAAGAGGCCAGGGCACCGGGCCCAGGCGGCCTCAGACATCACACCAATATGGTTATTGTCCAGACGGAGCTCCTCAAGAGAAAATGGAAGGTCAGTTGGAACGCTTTCTAGGAGGTTCCTATCCAGATAGAGGCGTTTCAGAGCTGGGATACCCTCGAAGGCTCCTTCTATGGAGCCATCCGTGAGCCGATTGTTGCTCAACACAAGAAACTCCATCGAGACGTATTCGTTGAGCAGGTCCAACTGGATGCTGTCGATGTGGTTATTCATGAGGAGGATGTAGCGGGCATTATAGGGAATGCCATAAGGAACTTTGTCCACACCTTTGTCTGAGCACTGAACCACTCTGGAACAACAATATGAGACACAGACAAGACAATTAATTTCATATGTCTGTATGTGATAACAATATGACATTTGTATGGACTCACCAACCACCAGGTTGCATGATTTGGCTTAACCTTTGGGGAAGCGTTATGTCATCCATCTCTAAATACAGTCTAAAACTTGTGCTAAGCTAACATAGCCTGTTGTTGGCTGTGGCTTCATATCAACCGTACAGACATGAGTGGTAGTCTTGCAAGAATGTAAACAATCATATTTCCTAAAATGTCCAACTTTTATTCCTTTTAATGAATCATAATTTCATAGTTTGCTTCATTCATTAAATGTCAGAAACTTAGTTTGATTAATAGTCTGATCAAGTATTATTAGGTGTAAATGATATCCTTCAGAATCCTTATCATCTTACCTTCCATAGCAGGCACACTCAGGAGGACAGTAGTTATCTAAAAAGTAAGGAAAGTGTGTTGGTGCTGTGACCTCCTTCTTCCTCTCAGATGGTTTTTTATTGGTTTTATTGTCCTTTTTTCTTTTCTTGTCCTTGGACTTTCTACCCGTTTTATTTTTGCTGCTTCTGTTGATTTTCGTTGGCCTCGTTGAAGGTGTCTTGGCCGTTGCCAGCCGTGGTCTGGCAGAAGGTTCGGTCACTCGCGGTCTGGAAAGAGACGATTTATTTTGCTTCACTGCAAGTTTGGTGTCATTTTCCATCAGTTTATCTGATCCTGGTTTGCCTGTGGGCTGTGTCATGTTTGGTCTGTGTGTAAAATTGACCAGTTTAGCTGTGGATATGTTTTCATGTGAATTTGGTGGATGATTCTGTTCTTTTGTGCTTAAATCTTTGGTTATAAACTCTGCTTCTTTCGGTTTCAGTGTTGCTTCTTGCACACTGGGGGTAATTTCACTCTCTGGTTGAACCACAGTGTTTATTTCTTGTGCTTCCTTCTGTGCAGGTTCCAGCCACCGGTCCGTTTCATCCTCTACATCTGGACCAGCCTTCACTTCAAGATTCTGCTTAAGATGATATCCAGGAGTTCTCAGCTCTTCCACCGGCGAGACAGACCTCACCTCACCAGGAACCACTGTTGAGACTGAAGGGTTGTGAATAAAGTCTACAGGAGGACTAACTTTTGCGTAAGGGGTGGGAGGAAGAGAAGAGAGTGGAGGAGCTTGTATAACTGGAACTAGTGGAGAGAGATTATGATGATTACGATGAGGAGGAATTTGAGTCAGAGTGTTAATTGCTGCAAACACTGATTCCACTTGTGCAGGGGCTGTTCTTAACAGAGGAACTAGTATGTAATCTTCCCTTTTTCTTTCCTTCAATTCATTATTCTTTGCATTTTTAACGTCCTTCCCCTGTTCCTCTCTTTCCTTGTTTCCTCTTGTCTCTGCTGTAATTATCTTTTCATCCTTACGAGCGTCTCCTCTTGCCACATCATAAACACTTATCCCTGCAACCAGCTTGCTTGCTCTCTCCTCTTCCACTATTTCTTGTCTCAGCTTCTCCATTTGCTTAAATTTCACATCTGTTTCATCAGATTTTTCTTCTTCTTGTGTCCCCGTGTTATGACTTTTGACTTTTAACCAGTTTTTTGTGTTTGAGGCAGTCTGCCTCTCGTTGATTCCGTTCTCATATCCTTGATTTCTGTCCGTTTTCAGCCCATCTCCACCTCTCTCCACCACAGTCATTTCCCTCCTGACAGGCGTCCTCACGGGGCTCGTCTCTAGACTCACTCCTTCACTCCTCTCTTCCCTCTTTCCCCTCTCCACTGCCGATATAAAAATACCCCTCAACTCAGACTGGTGGTCTCTGTCCAGCCCAGTGGTCTGTGTCATGGCTGAATCTACAAACCAATAAAACAAAAACATTCCTTAGAAGATGCAATTTAATCCAAAATTATAAAACATGTCGCAAACAAATAAAACAGGGACTGTCATCTTAGCATCTAGATCAGCATTCTCTTTGAAAGGCCCATGAAATAATTAGCATGGAGGCGTTTATGGCCTGTTTATTGTAGGATTGTCATTATTGGGGCAATTAAAGTCCCTAAATTTGAAATATTACCAGAATAAAAAGCCCTGATGTGGGACTTACTTGGCTGCAATACGTATGAATATCCAGGTAATGTGAAGAACATGAGCAGCAGCAAAATTGCTTCCATTTTATCTGAGGAAAAAACGGGAAAAGGCATCAGAAGAGAGAAAAAATAAACTCATGAAGAGCAGCACTTTCAAGATAGAAATGTTTTAATGGTTTTAACACTGACATTTTTGCCTTTATGGAAATCCTGGTTCCTCCTGAATAATCTGACAATCACCTTGATGATTTTTTACATATTTTAGAAGAATGGGCTATTCTGGAAACAAAAGGAAAATATATCTGTCACATATGGATCAAACTCAATCACAAAATATATCCTTCCTTGATTAAGTAACTTTACCTTAAAGTTAGGGGTTACTGTTCCTATAGTTTTCTACAAATAGGGTTACAAACTTTAAAATAAATTGAAATTAGATAAAAATATCTACATGTACGACTGTAAGTCTTAGACCTTTAAGAATAATAATAATTAAAATACATTATGATAACACAGCCTAAAGATCTGAGAGACTTCCTGGTTAATAAAACAGCTTCATTCATTGAGTTTGACCGATGAGTGATGCTTACCTCCCATGAGCTTGGCCTCCTTATGTGTCAAAGCAGGGTTCTTGCATTTGTCAGTCAGTTATCCTCTTGACCCTACACCTGCCTCTCTGTGTAGACTGAGAGGGTCCAGAAGTAACGGGGCCAACCTCTGAACCGCACGCACCGAGCGCCGCCGGCAACAGACGTCTTTAATGATCATTCTCAGCGGCCCTCTGTGCATTGGTGAATTTTCACACACACACTCTGGATGAGCCATAGTTAACACTCCTCGAATGCCTTTATCTGGAAGAGAATTCTCACACCTACCCTCGACGTCAGAGGAATCTGAATGATCAATAGCGGGAAAGAGGGGCAACTTTAGGAAGAGGGGTCAGAGGTGACGGATGGTTTTTAGAGTGGTTACTGTTTGCTCCGCTCGGTGGAGACATTAGCATCCCAGTGGTTATATGGGGGTGACAAGTAGCTTCTGGAAACATGGCCTTTGACCCTTTGCTAATAAACTGCTGTACTTCAGGAAGTCTGGGGGCTCCCGATGATGTGGATTCTTTTTCTAAAGTTAAAATGTGAGGATACTTGCAGAAGGTCTACAGGAACTAGTACAGACAGGGTTCAAAGTGACGATTTAAAATATGCTTTTTTTAGGATAAAATATTTAGTCAACTGTCCATCCCAGTTTCATGGAGGCCAAGGCAAGTGCTTAAAGTGTATTTACATATATATTTACAAAAAAAACTGGATATAGACAAGGGCTTGCACTCTTTCGGAGCAATTTTCCATTTTCTTCCCTGAGGTATTGACATTTATTGTGTTGTCAAAGTTGAGGTGGTTCTCAGTGGGTTATTTGTTGGAGTAGTACCTGCAAAAAGCCACAGAGAGGCAGCATATACCCACATACATATTGCCTTTGAGTTGCCCTGATTGTCTTGTTTTGCACAACATTGCATGGGAAACACAGCGGAGGTTTCCATGTTGTGTTTGTGTCTGTGGCCAAATCGATTCTCCGTCCGTCTGGACCATGACAAAGAAAGCAAATGCACATGAATAGTGAACGACAGGAAAAGGAGGCTGATTGAAGCCAAAGCCTGTAAGAAGAACTAGAGGGGTCTTTTCGAACAACATGAGCCGAGGCATCTCATTTCCTGTCGAAGGTGACGTCATGTGTAGGAGAGGAGGTGTGAAAGGCAGCAATAATGGAAGAAGCTGAGAGGTGGGGGTGGTTTCTTATTACACCTGCACATGTTTTTTTAAGTAAAAATAACAGTGTCTTTCAACGGCTGCTGGATGTCGTCATTTTGGATTTAAAGTGAAATTTTCTCCTCTCTAACCTCAAATAATGACACACATCTCCTGATGCTTTCAGACATGCACTGAACTGCGGACATTTTCCTTAAATTATCCGGAGGAGCTGTATGAAAGAACACAAATGACTGGGTCAGTTGCTTAGAATTTTCCCCAGAACTTTTCCTGCCAGGCTTCAAATGTCTTTATAATGTCCAAGTGAGAATAATGTCCATTAATGTGGCGTCATCCCTCGCCTGAATATACTGGACATTTTCCTGTTGTTGTGAATGTGTCAGAACCAGACAATCTCCTGCTGCGTTATGATTGTCCATACCCAATTTTCTGTCATTTTCACAGCTGTAGAAATATCCCACATCTTATATAAGCCCGTTTTTATGCCGCTTTATCTGTCTCTCAGGCAAAAGTTATATTTTTGAGAAAGATAAATTTTAGTATTTTTGTTTTAAAATGAAACTCTGATATTTCTCTGTTATTGTGGCTTGGTCAGAAGAAAGAAACCCATTTGTAGGTGTGCCCTGACCTCACAGCACAAACACTGACCTCAGTGGTGGAGCAGAAACATAAAAACAAGCGTGCATCGTGCATAAGAGGCCTCGCAGCTCAGTGAGGAATTTGCATGAGTCTGAATGAGTACATGTGTGTGTCTGTTGGTGTGTAATGTGAGTGAAGGTGTATGATTTAAGTTGTGTGTGCATGCAGGGGCACTGCAGAGCTTCTGGTGTATCTTGATGTAGGTTATGGTAATTGGACAGATAACTGATGACAACATTAACACCGCTTGCCCTGGGGTTTTGTGGAGGAACACACAATCTAATTTACAGTAAACAGACCAAACATCAATATTGTGTATCTAGAGGGCATAAATCCATGGAGGAGGGTGACAAAGAGGAAAAAAAAATTGTCAAATTAAATACAGGCAGGAGAAGGAAAACAAAAAGCATGAGTGACCACATGGCTGTGTAAAAAAATAAACCCTCCCCCTCCAAACTATCCCATCTGCTCAGAGCCTGTGTGCTGGCAGTAGTGGCGGCGGTGGGGAGATGGGTTAACAAGGGCGAAGGGCAAAGGTCACAGACTGTGATCAATTTGTTGGCTAATAGCGTCGGACACACAAATGTGCTTGACTTACTGGCCCAGCAGCTCAAAATGGAAATGAACTTAAATCCTTGTGTGTTTCTGTCAGAACAGATTCCTCATGTTCACGTGTCCTGAACTGAACATATCTACCACACTTTTGGTTCTGTACAGTTTTTACACCGTGGACAAAACCAGTGCCCCGATATTCCGAATAACTGGGTTAAGATTGGAATAAATGCTTTGATGCATCATCATCTTATGTTCAGTCTAATTTCCCCTCATTATAATATCAGCCTAATCACATGCTGTCTGTTTTTTGTTGTCCTGAATGTCGTACTCCTGCTTTCTCTGCCAGGACTCCTGCCCATTCTTCAGAACTAGTTACTTCAATAGAACTCACCTGGTTAATTAAAGGTTTTGAAAACAGAGCAGGTGCGTTGGAGAAAAGTAAGTGGACCAAACTATTAAAAACACTGTCTTGCAGTGATACATTTATTTGTAGCATTTGCTAGATCTGACAAAGGTCTAGCACTGAAACATCGCAAATAAATAAATCACAGTTGAATCAAATAAGACTGTGTGCGTGAGTATTTTCTATAACGCTTTAAAAAAGTGGCTTATATTCTAATATGATATCATATATGCTATAGCTGTTTTGTGCCTATTGAGGATGAGTTAAATGTACTTTTTGTGACACTTCAGTTTCTAAGTTAATTTCATTAATAGTTTCGACGACATATATAAATGATTGCGGTATCAGATGTGAAGATAAATAAATAATAAACATTAACAAACATTGACCATCCCAGTTCAAAAGTCCTTTGGCTGCAGAATGATTGCATTTTCCGAGATTAATAAACACCTCAAATGTTCTTTCTTTCATACCTTTCATTCTAAGGGCGTCCAAATATTTTTCCTGCTTTTTTTCCCTCCCCCCAGAGAGAGGGGGAGTCATCATAAACAGAGGCTCCGCTTGGACGCTGTTGTCTTAACCCTGCCTAGAATAGCTCTACCAAATTAAACTTGTGTTTTTGTTTAAGAGTGGAGTTCTTGTGTCAGTAAGTACAATATTACAAGAAAGAAAAAAAGATGGGTGAGGAAGGGAGGGGGGGTTTGAAAAGGAGGAGAAATGGGAATTTCAGGCAGAAATAAAACAGCACTCAGGCTCTTGTTGGACTCGGGCACTGTTCCTTTGAATCAAAGACACAAACTGGATAGAACCTATCTCTCTGGTATTAATGAAGCTTATCTAACCTGCAGGTCAGTCAGCTCCTCAAACATCGCATCCAGGGTCAGGACAGGCTGATCATAACAAGGTCAGATATGGAATGGCTGGTTGGATAGGTACACCACATAGCCTGAAAAAGAAAAAGAATTACCATTAATATATCTCACAGCATGAGGGACACATTACATTTGGACGCACCCTAAATGCACTTCAGATCATGCACCTATATCATTATAATAGAGCCTTAAGTATTCAAATGTACAAGCCTCTGAGAGATCGCGGATCCATTTATTTATTTTTCTCTCTATGTGGAGTGGAGAAGCCTAGAAGCATCAATGCGACGCAGCTTTGACATTTGGTCACATATTACGTCGAAGTAGAAAAACTGAGGCACAGTGGCAGAGCGGCTCCTATTGTCCTGTAAATTACACCATTGTTCCTCCAGACTGACTCATATGTTGCTGAAATCTCCATTTAGAGCCTAATGATGATCACACAGTGTGTGTGTCTGTGTGTGTGTGTGTGTGTGTCTATGTGCATGCTTAACCGATTATTGATTCCATCAGCCAAGAAAAGCCCACCATATGCTACATGACGCATGTGTCAGCACGACATATTTCAGTCAGTTAAGTGATCGACGGCGTTACACATGTCACTTGCATGTTTTCTTGTTTTTGACCCACAGCAGCGCGGATGCACTTTGAACAGGATTTGAAAACGCTGCAGAAGCAACAAGTGTGAAGTAAGAGGGTGGAAGAATGTACAGGATGTATATAGGGGTTGTATTGTTTCAGCAGGACACAGGGACAGATGGACAAACAGTGTTTTGCTGGATGATGTGGGTCATTGGGCCTGGTTAACAATTCTCCAAAGCTATAAGGCAATCTGTCACAGTCCAAAACAAGGCTAAGGACCTACAGGCAAGGTCACGGATTCATATTATTTTCTCTCACTTGTGATTTCCTCTGTCAGTACATTAGAAATCCACTGCTGAGCACTCATGTATTATTGCCAGCGATTTGCTATAGCCAATATCTTAATTAACAATAGACCATAAACATAAGTGTTTTGTGGATGATTTCCTGGATCAAACCTATAAAGAAGTGTAATGTGTAATCAGCTGAACCTCTGCCAAGGCCGAACAATTATACACATGATCACTTAGTTCTTATCGTAAACATATAAAAGAAAAAAGTGGTCTGATACTTCAAATGATTTGTCATAAAACTTAACTTTGTACATTTCATCCACCCAATCGCGTAGTTATGCATAATAAACAAACAATAGACTGTGAATTAAGACTGACAACATCTCCCACTATAAAAAAAAATGAAGCCAAAATATCCCAGATACGAACACCGCCATCTCGGGCATTTGGAGTCTGTTTGGTAGCGATAGGGGGGATGTAGTTGAGGTAACAAGGTCCTGCCGATTTGCTCAAACGATTGTGAGACAGTCTTAGTTGTCAATCATGACGCTTCATCTCATTTTTATAGCACTAATTAAAACCAAACTTACTGTTAAAATGAACACTTGATACAACAACGTGAACAACGTGATAAAAACTACCTTAAATGAAATTAGTTTTTTTTAATTTGGCTCATATCCCATCCACTAACATGGAGGAAGCCGAGTTTGGGACCTTTACTCCAACCAGCCACCAGATGGCAATAGAGAAATACAAACATCCACACAGCATCACAGACTGTCCAAGCGTCTTTTTATTAACTGTTTTGATTTGCTGGTGTTGTTCCAGTGTTGTTTTCTGCAGAAATGCTCAAAAAACCCACTGTATGCAACCTGACCAGTAACTAAAGACAAACCCATCAACTTTACAAGAATTTAGCAGCTAAAGAGCCGATATCTCCCTCAGCAGTTGGTGTAAAGTCCAAAGAACAGACATAAAAGTATAGTGAATATCAGCTTTATATTCACCAGCTGTGCAGGAACACAACTGCAACTTAATGCTTACGTTGTTCTGTAATAAGAAGCTGTTTACCAAACAGTTCACCACATTAACTTAAGTGAAAAAAGTCTTCCCTGATGTGTTTACAGCCTGGGTGCATTGCTCCTCAAGGGCCAAAACAATCTGTTAAAGTTGGAATAAAGCTCTTAATCACACAAAATAAAGAAACAAGCACCGACCAGTTTGAAGGAAAAGCTTGGTATAACAAAATGACAACACTTTTCTTTCAAAACCCTGTTGCTATGTTTTGAAATCTTTTATCAGCATGATCATAGTATATTTTTTAGTATTACTTCATACCTAATTTCCCCCAGGATCAATTAAGTATATCTGATTTCTAATGAATTCAATAACTTGTTCTATAGACTTTTCTAACAATAAAATTAAAAAGCTGAAAAAAAGTCCTTCACAAAATTCCAGTGATACTTAAAGTCGTCTCGCCTAAATCCCTTTCCTGACATTAATCAAACAAAACTAGCTCACATAACTTTATTATTACCATAAATCCAAATCAGCCTACCCTCTTTGTGTGGGTTTATGTGTGTGTGTGTGTGTCTCTCTGTGTGCGTGCACGACGAGGGGCCCCTGTTATTATGTCCTGCTGCTTTTCAATAGAACAGCTGTGTGAGTCTCCAGCCGCCTCCAAAGACGGCACGGGCTGCCTGGCAACTGCCCTCCCATTGGCCAACTTTCCACATCTCTCTGACCAATCACACAGGCCATGCAATGAGGAAGTGAATGGGGGAGAAAAACACAACAGAGAGCAAGAGAACAGAAATGACTGAGAGAAAGTTTGCCATGGAAAAAAAAAGAGAAAAGATTGAGAAAGCAGAATTTGAGCGTAGGAACTGATTGTAATTAGAAGGGATAAAGTTTCAATCTCTTTTCAAACAGATTTACGGGAAACTCATAATGATTAATCAATCCTGTTTTCTGTTTATTCCAGAATTAATTCTTTAAGTTTTTTCAAAACACAATGGAGGAAAAATCCGTGCCCCAACTTTCTGAACTTTTTCCCGTCTTTCCCTTTATATTACAATCAAACATTTGTGATAACACCTTTTATTTATGAAGATTGACGAAAATCTCACTTGAAAATAAGCAAGTAGGAAAAATGAGATGCAGGACATGACAAGTTGCAACAAACCGGCTCTAACCCCTGGATGAGGTTGTGTATCGGACCCAAACATGCAGATTTCTCTGGATTCTTTGAGTCGACTTGGACCCGTTTTTGTGTGACAAAAAGAAAAGTGGTGATTCGTCCGTTGGTGTTGCAGGCTTTGTGTTTGGCAGGCTGAGACATGCCAGTGCAGAACCTGCGTTTCCAGGGCTTTGAGTGGGCTTACTGGGGGGATTTGAGTCACATCTCTTGGGGATAATAGGTGTTTGTTTTACAGTAGCTGTGACGCATGCGGTTGCTAGATGTGAGGTCGGCAGACGGGAAAAGTGTTTGGGACTGTTGTGGGTGATAAACAAGTGTGTGCCTGTGTGTGTGTGTATATATATGTGTGTGTGTGTGTGTGGAAAATTAGATAGGCACGGTGCTTAGATACATCCTGTAATTACCAATCAGATCTATCTGAGAATAGTAGAACACGACACATAGTCCTATTCTCCCCCGGAGGTCACACTTCCTACAAAATTGCAATCGCAGTTTCACTTGGAAAATATGAGACGACATGAAGAAGCTCACACACGAGGAAGGAGCGAGGTGTCATTTGTGATGCGGTAAAGACGAAGGCTTTAAAGTTGTGTAATTACAGACACACACACGTGCAGAGACACATCCACTGAGCAGAAATGTGCAGGCACACATGCACTTAAATGTTGACAAGGTTGGCATGCAGCAAAAGTCACAACCTAAAATACACAACCATAGACAAACAATGTGATATGCTGACATGGCCTAATGGTGGGTGACTGAGTCAGTGATGAACTGCCAGCAGCTTCACAGTCTGATGATATAGCTGACATGATTCTCACGGCTCATGTGTACACAGATCTCATAACGGTCTGTTAAATATTTTGCAAGCGACCCAGATTTTATGGTGTGACTTTATATAACACACACACCAAAAATTAAATTCAGAACATTTGATAAGTCGACTTAATTATACAACAGAAGCAGTGTTTGTGTAATTAATCAGGTCTGATGATTCAATAATTCCAGAAATCTCTGTATGTGGATAAAATATCTTAATGCAAGTTCAAAGTTTGAGCATTTTGGACATTTGATACTTTCAATATCGATAAACCTTGAATAAACAGACGACAAGCAGCCTCAACACAACAGTGACGTTTTCGATCATGACAACAAAGAAAACTCATTCCTCTGTTTGTTCACTTACTTGCACTCAACCATTCAAGAACACCCACTTCCCAAGACACTGAATTGAAACCATCTGCTGGAGCAGAAACACATCTGACAAGAAATAGGTATCACGGTCACTATGGCAACATGTTCGCATGCAGCAAACAAAACAAATCTACTTTAGGTAGCAGCAATATTCTCTGCCCACTCTACCCAGAAGAGAGGAAATCTGCCTAAATGCTTTGTTTGTGTGGAGAGGAGGTGATCTTCTCAAATCTACTCCACGCGAACTGAGGAATGACAGGTGTAATCACTATTTTCAGAAAAACAGAAAGATGTCTGGCGAGTTCTGCACAGGCTTTAAGTTGGGAGTGTGTGTCCTTGTGTGTGTGTGTGGTATTTTTCTTTTTTTTTAGCGTTCAAATAATCCTGTCCATAATGCGGAGATGGTGGGTGGAGCAGACGTGGTAATCCAGAACTGGACTCTATGGATTAGGCTGGGATTGTCTGGGAAACACGGTGGGAGCAGATTGAAGCTGTTTTCACACACATGTAGTCCTGGAGAGAGATGGGCTCAGTACCTATTTGAACAGCAATTGGTCAGTTTGGGTCAACGCCCCTCAGAGGTTTGTGCAACATTACACAATGAAGGTGATTTTGGGTTGATTCCCTGTGGATGATGGAAAACAGATAAAAACAATGAAAAAACATCTCATGAGGAGATATTCACACCTGGCGAGCATAAAGTGCAACTGTGATATCTCTTCAAATATGACAACTACTCATTTAATCTGGTATCAATGAATGATTCCAGATAAATAGAGAAAAATCCAGTGGCTTTGAGAGCTCAACA